ATAATCAATGGTAGTTGCACCTATTGTCCACAAATGTATTATAAGGAGGGATAGGTTTGAATCTTTTCTGGACAATTTAATTTCTTCAAGAATATTCGTTCAAATTCAAGACAAATCAAGATGTTCAACAAATATTATTTCATTGTGATCTTGGTTCTTATTGGTCTTATGATCATCGATTCGTCAGCCGTATTAAAGAAGTCATCGGATGAAGACGATTCACCATCCTTCTTGAGATCGATTCTGAAATCCAAAGAATTCTTTTGGATATTAGCCATAATAGGATATCTGATTATACATGTGTTTACTTCATTTTTGTATTGGTGTTATCTGATAAATCATTATCCTAAACATTTCATTCATTAAATCTGACGTTAAGCTCAATCCTGATCGGGTGGTCGGTGTCCCGATGTAAACATTATTGAAAAGACGTGCGGGTCAGAAAATTTGCGAATTATGTCTTCTGAACCTAAACGGCGATTTGCGGATGGGTGGGACATCGAAGAAGATGAAAGGTTCGAGAAAAGACATAGAGATGGTGGGCTGGAAGAGAATGATGGTTGAATTTAATGTTGCGATGGATATTTTGACTATAGATAGAATGTACTCAGTTGTAAATATTGTATCATGTTAAATCATTAATAAAGTATATATTTAATAAGATTTAATGGAATTTGTCAAACTTTGTGTGATATGTCATAAAGTTCGTCATGATATTTAAATTTATTTGTAAATTTGATTATGTGTGATAAAGTTTGCCAAACTCTGAGATCACGAGTTATCGATTTATTTGAAATAACGTGATCTCAAAGTTTGCCAAACTTTATATTAATAATTATTGGTATGCCGATTGAATATTTAAATAGATTGATTAGCGGATTTGTTTCTCTGTTAAACGGAATTACTTGAATAAAGGTAAGCTGGATGAATGTAAAGTTTTTATATTATGATATTAACTTTTGTTTATTTAGGATGTCGTCAATGAGCATTAAAGAGACCCATTAATTGATCGATTGGTTGTATCAAGGGATCTGTAATGATTATTTAGATATATTTCAAATCGTGGGAAATGGTTCCATCAAGGCGACGAATGAAAACGTTCAGAAATTTAGAGATTTTGTGATCAAGTATAAAGGGATCTTGCGAGGGTATGGGTATAATCTGAATGAGATAAAGATGTTAGAGCATACCTCATTTTTTGAAACGCGAAAGAGGAACGAGAACAAGATCAAGATGTTGAAATTTTTCGGGATAGTGAGTCAATTGTATTTGAGTGCATGTCGGTTTTAAATATTCACCCAAATCATAATTATGTTAATATTATCATCATCGAGGATGAGAACAAGTGAGTTACATTTTTGATCAAAAGGATATAAATAAAGTTGATTTGGAACCAAGATTGATTAAAATATGAAAGGTCTGACAAAAATCATATTATTTTTTGTTGTATTTACTGTCGTATGTATCTTTTTGAAACAAAAGACTGATGTATCTTCGCATATTACAGAGTACGTATAATGAATGATTCACGTATTTGATTTGATGTTAATATTTATTTAGATTTTTAGCAAAAGGGGTACAGGACAGGATTGGTAAATTATATTGAAAGATACATAAGAATTATCTTAATATGTTTGAGGTCATGGAAGGCAAGATGATCGAGGTAACAGATGAAAATTGCGAGAAGATTGAAAAGTTCTTGAAAAAATATCGATCCTATTCATTCTATAAGGGATATAATTTGAAGATACTGAAATTGTTGGAGTCAACTCAAATCAGGATGGTTGTATTGTTTGACATGGCAAACTGATTATACATACATTTGTGCCATATGCTTGGAATTTAACCTAATTACTTTTATATTGACGTGAGAATTTAGTTTGCCAAACTTTGTTGATTCGATAACCATATAAGGCTATCCAAGAATTATTACATATTGTTTTTTATAAATAAACATCTGATCTATCAGTTTCATCAAATATGAAAGGGTATATAATTTGTTACAAAGAAATAAATGATATGAACCCTGCATCTGTGATGCCCCTTTGCAATTGTCGATCGATGTGTGGTAAATGTATCTCCAAATGGTTTAAGGAGAATCATACCTGTCCATTGTGTCATATAGAGGATCCCAATAGACAAAATGATCGCCAATTGAGACGTCAGATGAGATATCAGAGGATGTTACAAAGATTGAAAAGAAGGTATCAGAGATTATCTCGTGAATTGGAAATGGAAGCACATGTTGGATTACGAGAGCTTCGTAAATATGAATATAATTTAGGAGTAATGCAAATGATGTTGCAAGCATTGCAGAGGGAGTTGCAAGAGTTTGAGAATGTATTGGTGGAAGAACTTGAAAGGAGAGAAATGGAGCTCAAGAGATATCACATAATGTGAATGTTAAAATTATGTTTATACATTTTTGTTATTATCTTTTTATATTTGGTAAAGTATTGTCAGGATAATATGAGTTTGGCAAACTTTTGATAACATGATTATATTTAAGATGTATAAATAAACATGATTTTATTTTTTCGTGATTTAAACATGACATTGAATTATGATATTCTTTATATCATATTCAGACTCTTGTCCTTCAAGGATCAATTAAAATTTCAACTTGTTAATAAAGAATGTAACGAGATTTATACATGTCATCTTGATGATGTTTATTCATTGGATCCAAGTAGACACGTATTCTGTAGTGTTAATGTACCTCCTCAAATTTTCGAATTTATACATGTTTTAAAGAAGAATGTCATATTCAACATTAATGGAAAAGAGGTTCGAAGAAAGATTCTTTATAATAAAAGGATGGTGTCATATTGTAGAGTTCCAAGTTATGGTCACTTGATGATATGCAAGGTAAATCGAAAAGATGTGGATTCCTTGGGTAAGGTAAATTGTTAGGGATATGAAAAGTTCGATTATTGTGTCGATAGTTTGTGTTTTGATTTCAAAAAACGACTTGGTACATCATATATACTTAAACTTTGCGAAGATTGTGATAAGGTTAATGATGGTAGATGTACATATAGTTATGAGAAATTCGGATTTAGGGTGAAGATTTCACAATGTTTCATTCATTTTTATGATATGAATGATAATTTTATACTCAAACCCGATGGATTTAAATGTTATTGTGATAGATTTATAGAATATAGAAATCCTGATGGTTTGGTTAGTACTTATGATTTGGATGGATTTAGTGGTTATATTATGGATATCGGAACCATCAAGTCGTGTCGATTTTATTATGATGATATCAGATTATAATTTCAATAAATGTTAAATTCGAGATTTATTATATGATAATAATTACCTAATTATTAAAAAAAGTGGTCATTTCAAAAATGTTACGAGAACTTTATTTCTATTGTATTTCGTGATCACATTTGAAGCATAAACTTATAGTTCTATTATCATTAGTTAAAAGAGATATAATGACATGGTCGTAATTACCACATTTCATGCATATATCTTTACCAAAATTTTCTACAAATTCCTGAATTATCCGGTAGAGGATAACTCCTCTATGTCTTGGATGTATGCAATAGTATCAATGAGGTGTTTTGTTAGATCTTATAAGTTTCAATTCTTTATGGTATCCAGGAAAACGGACTATGAATTTTGTATGGTTTTTGAGATAAGACATGTTTTCGTTGTAATAAATTTCATATTGACATTTATCACCAATATATCCGAATTTGTATATGTCATGTTTGACGGTCCAATGGCATGGGGTGAAGTATTGATTGAAGAATATGTACTTATTATATTTTATGTAAATAGCATGGAATTTACGATTAACTAATTTGTAAGATTCATGATCAGATATTTCAGTGAGAAATAAAAAGATATGTGAGTTAAGTTCGACAGTATGGAAAACTTGATCTTGAGCTATTATTGAAGACGTGATGATTTATTGAATAATTTATAAAAATTTTAAGTTTGCCAAACTTTGGATAATGTGATCCAACAAAAGATAACTATATAAGGTTAACTACGATTTGATACATTATATAATGATGTTGATTGTATCATGTATATTGAAAATATGTATAAACAGAGATACAAAAAACAAAATATGAAGAATTCGATGATTCAATATGTGTGTGCGACAGAGTATCATTGTGTAAACTGTCGTGAAAAATTTCAGTGTTCCGGTTCCTACAAGCCTGAAGAATATTCTGATAAGGTTAATTGTGAACTATGTGAAAAGAAGCATCGAAGATGTATCAACGAGTCTTGTGAGATGTGTTGTGAAAATTATTGTTACAATTATGAATGCCATCATTGTAATCAGAAGCATCGATGCTGTACTGATGATGATTGTGAAAATTGCTGTTGAATGAATAAATGTAATGCCGTGGTTTGTTCCAGTTGTCTTGAATCCGACATTGAATGCAAGAGATCTATTCCAACTTCTCAGACTGATTTCGATCGATCTGAGTTCATGACTTATTGTGTGCGTCAATATAAATCGACACTAGAGACTGAACATATACATTATCAGGCATATTTCCAAATGGATAAACGAAGATGGATAGGTGCGATCAAGAAACTTTTGGAAAACAATACGATTCATCTTGAAGGTGCGTGGAATAGTTTTGAAGAGGCCTCGAATTATTGCAAGGCTCCATTCTTTCAATACAAAGGGACCTATTCTGAATTGAAGGAGGAAAACTGCAAGCTATTTGATGGTGAAAAAAAAAAAAACGTGTAGAATATCTGGATAAATATTATGAGTTTGGTATTCCTAAGAAGCATTCACGTTTGAAAGATCAAAAGGATGTCAAGAGTTCTATGAACGAGATCAAGAAGGAAGATTTGGAACGATTAGTGAATCTTCAGGATGGTGATATCAGTTATAAAGATGTGATAATGAATTGAAATTTGCAACCATTGAGTTGCGTTCAAATCATAAGTTGATGAAAGAATTGGAATGGGAAGAGAAGATGTTGAAGGGATCACCCTCCTTTCAAGTTCTCCCACCAATGCATCCTCAAAATCTTGCAACTCCCTCTGCGATGCTTGCAATATCATTTGCATTACTCCCAAATCATATTCATACTCACGAAGATCTCGTAATCCAACATGTGCTTCTATTTTCAATTCATGAGATAATCTCTGATATCTTCTTCTCAATCTTTGTAACATCCTCCAATGTCTCATCTGACGTCTCAATTAGTGATCGTTTTGTCTATTGGGATCCTCCACATGACACAATGGGCAGGTATGATTCTCCTTAAACCATTTGGAGATACATTTACTACACATCGATTGACAATTGCAAAGGAACATCACAGATGCAGGGTTTGTATCACTTATTTCTTTATAACAAATTATACACTCTTCTATATTTGATGAAACTGATAGATCAAATGTTTATTTATAAAAAAAAACAATACGTA